TTTTTTATTGATAAAAAATGTTTCTTCTTGTTCTAATTTGAAATCTTTGCCCACACAACACTGCCTAACGCTAAAAAGGCCATTGATTTAGTTTCGAAAGCATACTACTCGAAGCACCAAGCGATCTGCACATGCGCGTACTTATGATACCTAGAGTGATGCATTCCGATGAGATCACAGATACCACATTTGTAAACGAATAATTTTTTTGTCATATAAAAGCGCGAGTAGTATATAACATTTACTAACGATATTCGTACATCAATACGTTTGAGCTTCCGGTCATGTAATAACACAGBCAACCCAATAGTTAATTATTAAATTSTTAACTTCCGGTGGTCCAAACGCGACATGACACATAGATAGATTGGCTAAAAGGTAAATTTAAAGTCGGACCGCCTTCGGCTTGCATAGATAATATTTTTTTTTTCTATGTAATACTTCAGCTTTCTCTAAGGAATTTTTATATATAAAAAAAAGGATCACGTGTAAAAGGAAGAACGCCACATGTTTTTTGACTTATAAGGAGGGGAAAAAATTATTCGGAGATTTTATAAAGGAAGATACGAATAAAAGCACCAACTAAAACAAGGGAAAAAACCCTAAAGAAAAAACAACAACAGAGGAAGTAAGTCCATTCATATTAAATACAATTCTACTTAAATAATCGTTGAAACTATAAAGGACGTGATCACCTCGTACTAACGTGCCAATTCTGGCAAAATATTCATCTGCCATCATAAAGAAACGACTACTGATCATGAATCTTACACGGAGAGATACTTAAGAAGTACAAAATTCATTGACAATGAGACATTCCAGGTCCACAGTACTTACCATTTTAGCCAATGTCCCAGGGGCTTGCAATGATTTCAGTTCTTCCAAACACGTACGTTCTCAATTAAGTAGTGAGGACACGAGAACAATCTTTCCTTTTATGTTGTTATAAAGGAGGAAATAAACTATTTTTTTCCTTTTCAGCTTTCGGGTAACAGCGTAAAGGGATGTCGTTTCGTACTCTGATCTCCAGCTGGTATTAATCAACCAAAACAAACATCGCGTGCAGCATAAAAACACTACCGGTCGTCACTTTTTATGACAGTTTTAATCCTGAATTGCATCGTATAAGACAGTTTTATTGGTATAACCTTCATGCTGATCGCTGTAGTATTGGGTAACATTTCAGTCTTTCAAAATAAGTACAAACACGTTAAATGTTGTTAAGTTCTTGTTGTATACATATTATATATATTATGTATTGCATTTACGTTTTTATTGCATTTTATGCACATAATTTGTTCACTTGTTTAACATACACTCAGTGTACTRAGCACGTTAGTGGAAACAATTAGTGAGAAAATATTTCAACAATAAAAATAGAGTATATTATTACATGGACGCACGGTAGATAAAGCCGATTTTCAACACTAGAAGTATATGATCCGTGATCTGTAAGGACCATGTAATAATGTATTTGTCATACAATAATCTAAGAAAGCAAACTATGTCGTAAAATAACTTTTATTTAATTCTAATATAAAGAGAATGTATTATTCTCACAAGTGACTACGACAACTTTTGAAAAGAGAAAATTTAGGTATACTAMTAATATGATAAAGTATTTTATCACAAGTCTTCCCGAGTGTTAATTATTCCGTAAGATTCGTTATAAAGACATTCAGTTAGATGCAGCATCTACTCAGTARATTTTGGAATTCAAAGATAGGATTAAAATACTAATATTTGGTGMAAAAAAATCGGGGTTGAACAGCAGCAATTATCGCTGTATAGGTAAAGAATCATAATTTACTTCCTCATACCTGACCTTTATGGACTTATTGTACCCTGTAGCGCCTAGCGCAATGTTATTATTTGCAAGTTTGCAGTTGAATTGCACATTTGAAAATTAATTTTACACCAATTTGATTTTGTCTATCTTCCGTAGGAAAGCTAAGTGAGGGTAAATTAAAGACTTCATAAAAAAAGAATTATCAGTTTCTTATGGTTTTACTTTGATTTCTGATACTAATTTGTTTGCACTTCCTTTAACTTTTGCCCCGTTCCATAATTAACAAATCTCTTTCAGCTTTTAAGCTGAAACAGTTAAAACGTGAGCTAGCTGCTTTCTTTGGAACCATGCGGCTTTTTGACTTAGCTTAAAACTCGTTACCACCTATTGAGCCCATTGTTATCGTCAGTGCAATGACGCAAAAAAAAGAAAAAGAAAAAATACATCATGCCACAGCGAAACTCTCACAGCTGTATTTTGGGAAATTTTCTACACCTGATAAAAAGAGCAAACAGACTCGCAAGATTACTCTTTACACCGATAAACGAACTCAAAATTAAGGAGTTTCATATACTAGTTTTTGATACATTATTGGCATTTTTGTTCATTTGCATGAGTTATGTTGATTTGTGCTTATTTTAACTTATGTTCCGCTTTTGCTAGGATGAAAATTACCTAAAATACAAGACTATAAGATACAGTCAGTAAATTTAGGTTTTGTCATCCTGTTTAGCTCGAATGCAACTGATATCGATGAGACGTGAAGTTACCAACAGGGTCCAACAGAAGAAAAGGAAATCGTTTAACAGCGGTGCACCCTGCGTGTTTGTGCACATATCAAATCATAACATATATAAGACATGTAGTCTTCTCAAACTGACATTATTCTGAGACATTATTCACAGAGAAGAACTGATCCATTGCGATCAAATCAAAGATGKTAGGTTAAAGTACTAGTTTTTTAGATAATTGAATCGGTAAAGTGTTTTGCACTTTTTTAAACTTCTGGATTAGAGTTGGTTTCTTTTGCGCAGACAAATGTCGGGAAACGGAAGGAAGGACATCACATCAAAGGGTGAATTTTTCGCTCAAAATAGCATCTTTGTGGATATCAGTATATGGACTAAAGTATTTTCAATCTTTCAGAATATTTCTTTGGTATTGGTATTCGTTGCTTTTATCTATGAAATACAAGCTGCCCAAACTGTAAGTATTAACGATTCCAAGTGATATTAAATGATAACTGTTGACTGARATAATATTAAGTAATTCTGCGAAAATATTATTTGATTATAAGCTATATATATTTTTACATTGATGGACTGAAATAAATGGCTTTTGGATATTGATAGGTCTTTTTAAAACCTCTTTTTGGTCAAACGATTGCATGAAATTAAACGTATTAGCTGTTCCTAAGACTCCTTTAACTATAGCAGAGAGGGGAAATATACATTTTTCTTAAGCTTTGTACGTAATATATATATATATACCTTTTTCTGTCCTTCCCTCACACACACACACAAAAACAAAAAAACAAAGGCAACCAAGATAATTTATTAGTCGGACTAGCCGAAGGCTAGGTCGACTTGAGTTTTACCTTTTAGCCAATCTATCTATCTATGTGTCATGTCGCGTTTGGACCACCGGAAGTTAAGAATTTAATAATTAACTATTGGGTTGGCTGTGTTATTACATCACCGGAAGCTCAAATGTATAGATGTACGAATATCGTCAGTAAATATTAAATGCTACTTGCGCTTTTATGTGTTAAAAAATCTATTCGTTTACAAATGTGGTATCTGTGATCTCATCGGAATGCATCTGTCTAGGCATGATCAATAGTACGCGCATGTGCAGATCGCATGGAGCTTCGAGTTGTATGCTTTGGAATCTAAATAAATGACCTTTCTAGTGTTAGACAGTCTTGTGTGGGCAAAGATTTCAAATTAGAACAAGAAGAAACTTTGTTTATCAATAACAGAAAGGCGAATTTAATGATGTTATAGGCATCTCTTTCCTTGTAAAGTATTTATTTTCTTGGCCTGAGAGGTCAACGTATTAGATATCATGATATCACTTAGCCACATTTTGTCTAGCAAGTTTGATTTTATCAGTCAAAGCAAGGACTCTTTTAAAACGTTCTTATCGCATTAATTACATGACCTTTTAGGTCAAGTTTAATTAAAGTCTCAATAAATTTCCATAATTTGCACTAGACGCTCGTATTAGACCGTGAGTTCGGCTATTTTGGAAAAAAAATTAAGAAATATTTTTATCCACGTAATATCCTGTCTTTCTCAATTTTCAAAAGCAGCTAGTCCGACTTCACGCTCCAAGAGCGTCTAGTCTGATTTCAGGTTCTCGCTACGTCCCTGCCCCCCCTCGATCCTCCTCTCACCACTCCACTCCTCTTTTCAAATATTGTTGTTGTTATTGTAATTTCTACACTGTTTAAGTTTCTTCTCAATAATGTCTGATTAATTGGTAGTTTGTTTGGTTTATTTCGTATTCAGGTGGACGGTCGGCCAGATGATGATGGACCTTCGCTAACAAACGATACACCTGTGCAGACACTTTGGGTAAATGGTGTCAACGCAACACACGTTACTGCAGTACTAACTCAATCGTGAAAGACATGTGCAGAAAGTCATGTGGATTTTGTCATGGTTAGTATCGTTCAGCAGGTATCACAGAAGTCCTATTGTGCTATTAATTATATAGCCACATATTAATCCCAAATAGGTAAAAGCTGGRTTTTTYRTKHAWTTTGGAATCCTGTCCAATTAAGAAATTAATTGGACAGGTTTTCAATTGGGTTTTTGTTAAAAGCTGTGGTTGGCTTTTACCTATTTGGGATCAATATGTGGCTATATAATTAAT